CGCATTTCTTCTTTTTTTTTCCCCCAATATTAGATTACTCGAAATAATTCAAAGAAACTCTTACACGCTTCGAGAAGAATATCGATTCGTAAAAAAAAAATATTTCCCCGCGTTATTTCATTTCCAGAAAGAAAGAAAATAACTCTAACTCTATCATAACTCGATACGCCATTTTTCGAGTGGCGGCGTGCAATAATCAGAGATCGCGTCTCGTTCCTCGTGCGCCATTGCCTCCACTCCTCCCTCCTCCCCTACGAATCGAGGAAATCAAAGGTTGAAAGGCAGGATTCGATCCCCGTATCGTGGTGTGGCGTGAGAACAGCCGGGGGAGGAGAGGGACACCAACGATGGATCGTTGATTGTATATCGGTGGGGACGACGATTCTTCTTCTTCTAAACTCCCTTAAATCGGGTCAACGGCGTTCGCACGAGCGGCCGTTCGCCGATTCGCGATTCACTGACCTACGCCGATTTACGGGAGTCGGCCGGCTAACGATCCGGCTGACCTTTGATAATCGCGCCTCCCGACTCGGCCGTCCCCTTTCAGGGTGAAAAGTCAAGTTCCCTCGTAACCGTGGACGGAACACTCGGCACCGTTATTCCAATAGACGACAATGAGTCATTATCGCGGTGAAATCTCCATTATATTCGCGCGCCGCCCCAACATCTGCGAGGTTGCGCATCTCAGGAGTGTGTAATCGCGTTCGAATTTTTCTAATTGTGCGTGGTCGGTGGACTTCGGCAAGTGCCAAGCCAAAGCGAGAATGAATCCTTTTATTTCCTTTGTCGCAAGTTGAATAGAGGATTCTATATAAATAAATATTCGAAAGTGAGTTTGCGGTCGAAAGTCATCGTACGATAGTAAAAATTATTTTTTCACGGTTCTTTTGCAAGTTGCAAGTTGCGCAATACGAATAGTGCATAGGTAAATAAAAAGATTCGAGTATTGTTCGAAAGTGAGTTTGCGATCGAAAAGCATCGTACGATAAATATAAATTTCTTTTTCCCTTATTCCAGCAGTTTGATCGATAAAACGATATATTATTCGTCCCTCGAATCGTTTTTATACAAATCGCGACCTGCTATCGTATAAATAATATCGATCCTTGTTTTACCGAATAAAAAATTCTTCAAAAAGCGTGAGGAGAACGCGACTCGCAATGAGAATAACACGTTGGAATTGTACCTTACTTCTTTTCGTAAAAATGAAATTTCTCTAAATTCATCTCCTTCCTCTCCAATTACCGTGTCTCGAAAATCGGCATCGAGAGAACCGCGAAAATTTAAAAAAATCGCGATTAGTCCACTATTATTCCTCGATCGCGAAAACCGTTCCAAACCTCAACCGTAACCAACCATAACAACGTCGCCAACGTTATACTTAACGGGCGATCGATAGAACAGCCGCGCATCCATCGAGGACAAACAAAACGCGTCCTTCCTAGGAGATCCGTGGGGGAAGAGGAGGTCGTAAAACGGTCGGTTTCCCGCGACAACGAGATCCTTGGGACCTCGGCCCCTCCACTCTTACGCCGAAAACTGATCCCCCCCTCTCTCTCTCTCTCTCCCTCTCTCTCTGCCCGCGAGATCGGATGTTATCGAAGAGGATCGATGGCGCGGCGTGCGTGCGCAACACACGCGTCCGGCAAACTGCTCTTTACGACCTGACAAGAAAGCGACCTCCTCGCCTCGCCTCGCCTCGCCACGCCTCGTCCCAATCATCCGGTAATTACGATCGCCGATCGTCCGGAACCAATTACCTCGTCGATTTTTGCGTCGATGAGGTCGGAGGATAGGATATTGCTTGCTTGCTGCTGCGTGTCACGTTGCTAAGATTGCGCGTTTACGTTTTCCAGATTCGTCTTAAAGGTGTGAGCGTAGAGTCAGTTAGGCGGAAGCGGTGTTTTGTATTTTTGTATATATATGTATGTATGTATGAAAACAGGGCCAAAGAGATGGATGAAGAATGATATGGAATTAAATGTTTCGTCTCTTTTGATGCGAGGTGAAAAGAAGAGATGAGAAACGAAATTGTTTTTTTCTAGTGTTTATAACTTGATTAACAATTCAATTCGATTTCTCTCTCAGGATATATAAATCGAGTTGAAACTTCTATGTCTTAATAATAATGCAATGATGAAATAAAAAAAATTGGCTAAAGTCCAACGTGGCATTTCCAAAGGGTTAGAGGAGAGGAAAAAATTAAAAGTAGAAAAAATTCTTATGGCCTTAAAAGAATGTTGAATATTATTGGCTGTGCGATTCTTTGATAAACGATGGTGGAATAAAATGGAGAAATTGAAAAAGTGGGCGAATATTTATTTTTCAGAATCGATTCGTTTATCTCAACATTGTTCGATTCCTGGAAGGATTACGAATAGACGCAGAGAGAATTATTTTCTCATGGTTCTTTTTATGACGGTCAGTCAGCCGGCGATGTTTAAAAGAAATGCCAAGGACGAGCGGACCATGGCCCATATATTTTGTAAATATTTCGAAACTTTCTTGGATGATATCCGAGCCCGATTCGTTTCTTTGTTTGAAACTTCGATTTGTATCTTCGCGTTTTTAAGATTATTTCGCGAAAGTGAATAGATTTGGAATGATTAATAATAAAGAAGGATTGGCGAAAAAGAAGATCGGTCGAGTAACGTGTTTTGCGATGTTGAAAAAGAATCGAGAAATTATACTCGGAAATCACTCGCTTTCGATATTAAGCAAACGTTGTTCGAACGAAAGCGAAATTAACGTCGACAAAAGTCAAACATTACATTAGAGCAGCAATTATAACGAACGCAAACTTCGATGTATTTGCCAAATTATACAGAAATCTGAATTCCTGTCCATACAAATATTCCCGAAATCTAAATACACGCCTATGCAAAATTAAATATTCGGGAGTTAGACCAAATATTAAGATTCCATTATATTAAAACTTCCAAAAAACATTCTCTCGTATTAATATTTAAAAAAAATCTCTCTCAGATTCTAAATTTAATTTACTTAAAAATACCTACACCAGCTATCAAACAACAAAAATTAACGGAACATTTGTCTACTCTCAAGTAAACACGAGATAAGTAAAAGCTTAAAAAAAAAAAAAATCGTGCAGATTTCACTGAAAAATATGAAAAAATAAAATTAAAAATAAATTTTCTTTTTTCTTCCAAACATTACGATATACGCATTCCAATTTAATAATCTAGTTGCACGCGCTCCCCCCACGCCCCAACACGAAGGATTCCACGATACCCACCACCAGGTAAAAACTAAAACTATTAAAACATTCAATTAACTTTCGCAATCACGAACCATTATGCATATCCAGTTTCCAACATCCATCACGCTTCTTATAAACCAGTGGCCGCGATACACGATACATGCACGCGGCGTACGTACATCGGGGCCTCCGTTCAATTTCGCGCCATTGATGAGCCCCCCGGTTGATGAGCTTTTATTGATGAGTTATACGCCTACCCTCCCTTTGCAAAAAACCGTGGAATAAAAAAAAAAAAGAAAAGGAAAAAAAGAAGAAGAAAAGAGAAAAGAAAAAACGTCGGTATTTTTCATACGATCGTGCCTCTTTCATCGCACCTGCCCCCTCCCCCCTCGCTCGTACGCGCGCCATTATTCCCGCCGATTTCACGCGGACCCAAGGTGCCCCCACGGTTCATCGACGGTGAAACACACCGTAGACATCGGCGAGACTGTGCTCGCTATTAATCCGGAATACAGGCAAAAACCAGGCCTCCGCATCGATGGAATTGTCCGCGACGATGGAAGAAAATGGAAAA